CACAGCCCGGAAGACCCACACCAGCCATCGTATGCCGGCCGTGAAAGCCTTGGACAATACACTGTTATAAATATGCTTATGCTCTTTTTAATACTGAGGGTGTAAGGAACTGCAATGCTCAGTTCCCAACGAGAGCAACTCTCCTTGAAACCAATGCAAGTTCAAAGAAAACTTCATTTATTGAGAAGTAGTGTACAGCCTCTAAACCATTGCTGGAACTGGGTTCCGTGTGTGCCAAAACTTGATTTTACCCCCATCCCGTTTCACCTCCCCCCCTTGTCTCTGAGTCCCTCTTGCACATGTCGACCGTCCTCTCCTGGTCTCACGCTGGTACAGCCTTGGCATTCCTGAGAACCATCTGCACCTAATGGCTCACCTTCCAACCCACCCCTTCTCTGTAATCGCAGAAACTAAGCAAGTAAACTAGCAAGATGGTTGGTTGGTTGATTGCGAGGATTCTGGCAGGAACTCAAGAAGTGAAATTCTGGACCCAAAAATATTATACTAGGGCTGACTTCAAATGGAAGTTGGAAGGAGACGGTACTTTTGTACTTACTTTGGTGGTATTGGTAATAAGAATGACTTGTCTTAGGAGCAAGAGAGATGGAACAGTGTGGCGATGACAGTTGTACCTTTTTCATGTCCCCCCCGCCAAGTCACTTAAAAAAACCTTGCTATTTGTGGCAGTATCGGGAGCAGAACTCTAGCAGTATTGTTTAAAGGAAGGATGAAGTTGGAAGGTATAGATAAGAGAAGAGCACCACTGTCAGACTCCCCGCCTCCATTGAAAATTATCTGAATTTTTGCCTTCCGAAACAGCTGATTGAGTTAAGGTAAAGGAGAGTTTCAGGGAGAGAAATCATCATAGCTCTTCTCCATTCATGAGTCTTCCTTTCCCCCTGGAACTGTAGCACACACAAAATCGCCTTACCCATCAGCTGGGAGTGTTTTTAGAATTCTCAGATCTTTGTATTGTGGTGGTGGTGGTTACTATTATGGCATGGTTTATTATGTTGTGGTTACTATTATTATATCATCATGGCAGGAAACAACAGCAAATAATGAAATACGAATTGCCCCTTTTCTGGTTCCCTTTCCCTTTTGCTTGCTGCTTATTTTCCAGTTTTAAGTAGTTCCATCAGTAGCTAGAAGAGTCCTCCTGGTAGTCATGCTTTGGTTCTGTATATTTTCATGGGAATCCTGGAGGATCAAATAGCATCAGGCAACATCTGTAAGGAAAATTCTTCCAACAATATCCTTCTCCCCCCCCCCTCCAAATTTCCTTCCTCTCTCTTTCACCATCTGTAAATGGGATGGGAGGCAAAAATTGAGACTTGTTTTCAGTCTAACCATTAGCACATCAGCTGGCAGCTATTTGTTGTATTTCTCAGCTGAGATGCAGCTGTTTGTTTTGTTGCTTTAAGTTGGGATGCTGACTCATCATACAGTTCATCTGTGCAGATAGCTTAAATTGTGGTTAACTTGATTATATTGCTGTACTGTTTCCAGTGATGCAGACTAAATAAGAAAATACACACACATATTGAGTTGTATCTGATTCTTGGAGACTGCCTGGACAAGTCCCTGCAGTTTTCTTGGCACGGTTTTTCAGAAGTGGTTTGCCATGGCTTCCTTCCTAGGACTGAGAGAAGGTCACCCAGACAGCTTTATGCCTAAGGCAGGACTAGAACTCACGGTCTCCCAGTTTCTAGCCTGATGCTGTAACCACTACACCAAACTGGCTCTAGTGTCCTCTTAAAATCTTGGTGTTGTACAGATCTGAGCACTAAGTGCATTTTTGCAGTAGTTGCTTAGTTCTAATCCCTAGGATACAATTTTATTCTTTTTAATTTTTTTAACCTAGAGCCTTTGTAGAATTTTCTCGGAATCCTACGGAACGTTTTAAAACACTTCCTGCAGTGTACCTTGCCCTTAAAATGGCACAGATGAGGATTCCGTTTGAACTGAACGTACATTCCCCAGAGGAGATAGAGGGGAAGATGGCAGAAGAAGCTAGCACTGTTCTGAGGGGCGAGAGGTATGTTATTACGAAACTGGATTAGATTCCTTATCTTACAAGGAAGCTGTTTTGCTTTAATTCAGCAACATCTAATATCTTTTGCAAATGTACTTTGCAAAATTCTAATATGGAATGAGCTTTAAAAGAAAGAATGCATAGTTTGGAATACTAAAGAAAGACTGAGTGATGTGGAACTCTGAAACGAAGAAGAGGCCTGGAATGTCCAAGAACATGACATATGACCTTTCTACCTGATCCAGGATCTTCTGACATGAACTAAGAGTAGTTTAACCCTAATTAGCTGCTTCCTACTCTACTTTTTATCTGCACCAGCTTGGTATTTAAAAGTTTGTCAGTAGTCATAGACAAGAAACAATTCTGTGGAAGGAGTGGTAGAATGTTCCATCCTTTGCATAGAAACTAAAAAGACTCCACACCCAGGACAGAAATGCAGAGATACAGTGAAGGGAGGGTGGGGTTCTCCATACTTGCTCTTCCAATCCCCATCAGAGTGGTAAAAGTTTTTGCATGCCTGTAACTCCTATAGATTTATTTAAACAGTTGATCTAAACATTTTTATCCTAATGGGATATATATAACAGGGTCCATGAGCCATCTTTTTGGAATAGCCTCCAAGGTGACTTATTGACAGGGATGTCTTTAGTTTGTAGAAGATTAATGACTGGGTTTTGTTTATTATGTTTGATATTTGTTTTTAGAGTGAACATTGACTTTCAGAAGCATACTGTGACTCTTATGCAGAAGTTCTGTAATACCTTGGAAAAACTTCAGACTATAATTAGTCTTGATTTATCTATCAGTGTCACTGAGGTAGGTGATAAGTGTGTGTGAATGCACCACATCAACTTTAGTTGGGATGAATTCTAAAATGGGAGAGATTGGGAACCAACTTTTGGGTGTGAGTAAATTATGACTGAGTTACCCAGGCATATAAAGCATGTACGCAAGTAGTATTTATTTCTGATAGCTGGCTCTGCTCAGAGCTAGCAACCATAAAAAGAATGAAACTTAAAACAGTTCCAAACCCAAAAAGTATAAAATGTAAACACTTACAATATTGTAAAATAAGTTTAAGTTATTAAACTAAATTCAAATTAAATCAAAGACCTGCTGGAAGAAGAAGGGGTTGTCTCCTTTTCTCTAAGCAAAAAAAGAAAAGGTCTGAATAAAATTTCCAGGGGGCTGCATTCCATAGCTTGGGAGTAACAAAGGAAAAGGCCATCTCTTCTATACTTGCCTAATAGAAATACCTTTGTTTCCAGACAGAGTCATATCCAGATAAGCAGTTTCTTAGGAAACTAAACCTTAAACTGACTTGTGTCAAACTTCATGCCAGGTGCATTTATAAATCTCAGCTCTCCAGACATTTAATATCTTAATCAACACTTGGCTTGCTTGACAGAAAGCTCACAGACACAAGTGGGCAAGATATGTCTTTTTATTGCAAACAAGAATGAAACCACAGATACACAGAAGATTTGTCTATTTCTGCATAGGTGTGTGTGTTCCAGGGTTTAAACGCTAGACTCTTTCCTCCTGTCTTCTTGAGTCAATGGATATTTGGCTGTTCTCTTTATGTCCTTGGAAGGCACCTGATCTCTGATGACAAAACACAGCTTCATTAGCTTGTGAATCACAATACAGGTAGTCCTTCCTTAACAACTGCCTTGTTTAGTGACCATTCAAAGTTATAACAGCACTGAAAAGGTAACTTTATGACTGGTCCTCACATTTACTATCATCGCAGTATCCCCAGCAGTTACATGATCAACATTCAGGCTCCTCACAGCTGGCTTCCAACAAGCAGAGTCAATGGAGAAGCCAGCAGCAAAATTGCAAGTCACAGTCACATGTCTTGCTTAATGACTACAGGTGATTTCCTTAACAACTGCAGTGGAAATGAGGTCCTAAGTCCATTGCAGTCATGTGACATCTCGCTTAATGATCAAATCGCTTAGCGACAGAGTTGCCAGTCCCAATTGTGGTCGTCAAGCAAAGACTACCTGTAGCTTCATTCCTAAAAACTAAGACCTTAAAACATGGTTAATTTTGCAGAAAAAGCAATGCCTTGACATGGCAATGTAGGTAAAAATATTTAAATGTTACAGAAGAACAGCAAATAATTAGCTCAAGAATAGACACTTGCAAAATATAATAATTTGGGATAAATCCTGAGATAAATTATTTAAATTTCTCTTTTTTTTTTCTTGTCCTACTTGACTCCTAAACTGTGCTTTAAACAGACTATTAACTGAATCTTGTTAATTAAGAGCAGTTTGAAAATCTAGGTTTGTTTCTGTGTGTGACTTGGTTATACATGCAGATGTGGCAGTCATGATAAACTAGAGCGGCAGTCATAAATGTGTATGTGCAAATTATACATAGCAGAATTTGGGGTCACATTCTTTAAGGACATGTGTCTATAATAGTTTCCAGGAAGGCCTTTCTAGACTTTTCCAGCTCAAGCAGCTGCAAGTCTGTCTGTCAAAATGTGTGTTTGGGGGTGGGGGATTGTTCAGAGCATGCTATAAAAAATACCTTATATTTTTCAGGTTGTAGAGGTTGGACACTTCTGGGGATACAGAATAGATGAAAGAAACATGGCTTTACTACAAAATCTGTCTGCTGAGATCAGCCGGCTGGAGTTGATCTCTTTGCCTGTTCGCCCCTATCCGGACTTGGTTTGTTTGGCACCTTTTACTGACTGGGAAAATGAGAGGTACTACCGAGCCCAAGTCCTGTATGTGTCTGGAGAAAGGGCCGAGGTGCTTCTTTTTCAAATCCTTGAGCATATTCAAGCATAATCGTACAGAATGTGTATAGCATAACAGTTAAACAGATGGCAGCACCTGAAAAAATATTTGACTGGCCTCTCTGCTTACGTTTTGAAAGAATACATTATGCACTGCTTTGAGTAAAGGCAATAAAAGCACTCTTTTGGAAGGGAATGGGAGACTGACATTTTTTAAAAATCCAGCTTCTGTACAGGAAGAGTCCACGTGCAGTGCTACAGTATAGCCTTCCCAGCCTAGTGCATTTGAGATATGTTGGGCAATAATTCCATCATCCTGAGCCAGCAGCAGATGTGCTCACTTGAGGATGCTGAGCTGAGGGATGTATATGCTCCCAGTCACATAAAAATATCTGCCAGCAGTGGTTATTTCTGGCATTTGCTGGCACTAGCAGGGAGACCCTTGAAGGAGCCGGGGGTATCCATAGATCAAATTGTTTTTCACTGTTGCTTCTCCTGGGTGCTGTTTGATTTGGTTTGGAGTAGTTTAAGTACAGGCCATGTTTGTATGAATATTTGGGAAAGAGCAGTCAGATACAATACTGTTTGGGGGAGGTGATGGAAAGAGCTAGCTGAAGCAACGATAGGAAATTAAATACACCCCACCCCCCCGTTTTGAATGAAGCAGACCTCAGCTTTCACAATAGCTGGGCACACTGTGTTAAGCCATATTTTGTTCAGTTTAGCTTTATGTGATGTGTGACCCTAGCCATTGTGGCTTATAAACCATGGTCTGAGCCTTATTAGTATATGTAAGCCAGCTGACTATTGTCTAGGGCTGTATTTATGATCTGTTTTCTTCTAGGCCTTGGAAGAAGTCTCTTTTAATTGCTGTTTATTGTACAGGTGTTCTATGTAGATTATGGCAATAGATCAGAAGTGGATTTGGGCCGGTTACGAGAGATTCCAAGCCATCTCCGAGAGCTTCCCTTTCAGGTAAAATTTTCTAGTTTTTAATTAAGGAGGGGACAGTGCTATGGGGAAGTGGAGCAGTCAAAATGTTTCACGTTCTTGGAAAATATATATTTGTTTTAATGTTTTTTATTCAGGCTCTGGAATTCAAGGTGCGTGGAATGCGTCCCTCTGCACAATCTCTTGTTTGCGGAGAACAATGGAGTTATGCCGCAAGCCAAAGATTTTCTTCTTTGGTCAATGGCTGTGCCCTGATGGTGAAAGTTTTCTCAGTTGTGCATGGCGTCTTGCATGTGGATGTGCTTCGATACTCTGGCATTATGGACGTTGTGAATATCTGCACCATCCTTATTCAAGAAGGCTATGCTGAACCTGCAGATGACTCTTATGAATCAAAAGTATGAGATTTTATGTATGGTATTTCTGTTAGAGAAAAGGTTGGAACTGTAGTTTCTTGAACTTATAGAAGCAGGAAAGTGAGGAGCTGAAGATGGTTATTGACCTCAAGGTGGCCATTCTTACAAAAGAGCATTAGAAAGACAGATTTCATTGTGAAACAGTTGAGCTAGAATTGATTGGAAGATTTAACATTCTCATGATTTAAGCAGAGTGTAAGGGTTTTTTTTATTATACTACACAGATCATCAGTATAAGGATGCCTTTATTATATCAGTTCAGCTTTGCTCACACCTCTCTTTTTTCCCCATTCTGCCTTCCCCTCCTTTCCCTTCCCAGCTCTCTGGTAGTTTTTACATATGCGCATGTAAAATTTCTCCATGCATCTGGTGAAAGGGACTGTGATCCATGAAATCTTATGAGATAATACATGTGTTAGTTTCTTAAGGTGCCAGTTAGAGAGACTTCTGTTGTTTTTTTCTGCAAAAGACTTAATAATTAAATTTAGAAGATACAGGTAGAATCACGACTACATTGGCTTCATGTTTTATTTTTGTAAAATACATTATAAAACAGACATCTTGAGCTGGCACTTTCTTCTGTCTGCTGTAGATGCTTCGGCAGATTATTTAAAACCAGGTCAGCTTGCAGTTGAGAGTTCCCATTTCAATGATTTTCACTGCCCTTCTAAATTGGAGAAGGAAGTTTATGACCTTATGTTTGCTCTGCAAGAGCTTTCTGTTCTCTCTGTTCATTTTTTTCTTGTGTTATTCCAGCTGGACTTACTAAATCTTGTTGCTTGGGCTTTGATTCTCAGAAATTTTCTTGGTGAATTTGGGTCTGTTACTTTTCCTTATACGTGAGAAAGAATTTCTCTTTTGTCATGAGGAGGTGTAAGGAAATGTCTTCTCCAACCAAAAGAATTAAGAATAAGCTTGTTGAATCCTGTATTTGAAGTGAACAGAAGTAGGAAACAGTACAGAGTGCTTTTCATCCACTGAAGAGAACAGGCTGATATAGTGATGTAATAATTGTTTATTGTGGGAGCCTGTGTGGTGTAGTGGGGAAGGTGTTGGGGTGTGACTGGAAAGTCTCAGGTTTGTGTTCACCTTTAGCCATGGAAGCTCAAAAGGTAACTTTGGGCTTCTCTCTCTCTCTCTTTCTCAGCCCATCCTACATCAAGAGTGATTGTTGTGGGGGAAAATTGGAGGAGGGAGTGCTGTGTATATCCCCCAGGAAGAAAGGCAGGCTATAAATCTATATAATAATAATAATAACAACAACAACAACTCGAGCCGCCCAGAGTCACCCATTGGGGGAGATGGGCGGCATACAAATTTAAAAATAAATAAATAAAAACAACAACACAAATAAACATTCCCCTTCCTGCCTTTTCACTCACTTTTCAAAATCTTTTTTCCCAATCTCTTTAGCTAAATCATGAAAATCTCAAACAATTGTTTTCAAAGCCCAAAGAAAGTAAGGGGAAGAAATTGGCGCCCCCACAGAAGATCTCAAGAGAAGAGAATTCCCTGATTGAAATGTTGGAGAGCTGCTCTGCTAACAAGATTAGTGCCCCAAACTACAAAGTAAGTTTAAAAGGTATATCTCTTCCCCATTCCCCCCCCCTCCCATTTCATTGATGAGCATTTAATGGTTCACCTGAAGTATGAAATGCTGTTTTTCTTCTGTTTCTATGAACAGCAAGATTGCTTCATCGTTCCATATTAAAATAATTGTGATTTTTGTTTTTTTCTCTTGACCTTTATAGAAAACAGCTGAACTCCCCCCCCAAAATACTTTGTACTTACTAAAAGTTAATTGTGAAATGGTAGTGTTTGTGCCATTAGTTTCTTGCTTGTAGAGAATTAGACAATTTCTTGTTCGGAAGAATGAGCAAGGCAATGTCACAGGTGTGAGTGTGACTTTTTGTCCCCCAGGATTTAGTGGAGGAGGTTTTGGGATCCTTCCTTCCTTCCTTCCTTCCTTCCTTCCTTCCTTCCTTCCTTCCTTCCTTCCTTCCTTCCTTCCTATTAAATCTTATAACTAGTTGCAACAACCAACGTTAGATTTTGGATTAAGAGAGGCTTGTTTCAAAATACCCCGATTAAGCTGCAGTTTAGGATTCACATGTTATTTAAACAGCCTCTTTTTGGCAATGATCAAAGAGGAGATAGGATATACGTGTGCAAGATTTTTGTATCTTCAAACCACGACCAAGCATTACATTATATTTTGTGTAAGTCAAGAGCCTTCTGCCTCCTTTTGGGCTGCATGTTAATCCTATAAGATGCAGGATTGTCTTGGGTCCTCAGAAGAGGCTTTTTGTTACCTTGGGAGAGAAGACAAAAAAATGAAAGACTGAATTTCACTTACCTTAGTGAAGACAAATCCCAAAGCTAACAAACTGAAATATTGCATATGCTTTCTCAATCCCATTCTCATTCTCTCTCTTTTTTTCCAAAGGCAACACTACTTGGCCCTTTCAATCCCTACAACTTAAAATTCAGCAGTATGACCCGAATTTCCAGATTCAGGTAAGATGCTGTTCTACAGTGCTTTGGGAACAACTGTGGAAGATTATAAACCTCATGCTTCGCTTTTAGGCATTTCCAAGATAGCTAGTGGGCCACTGCAGGCTGCAGAACACTGCTTCAGATGGACCTTTTATCCAGATCATTGATGAAGAGCTAAGGCTGAAAGCAGCACAAGCTGTTGTTTGTGATTGTGGTTGTCCTGCCCATTCACAACAATTTTATGAAGCAGATGCAGGCTCCAGATATCAGCATCTTCAATACCTTTCACCACTCCCATTTTTCTACCCTTTCCTCCTTTTTTAACCAATAAGGAAGCAGAGATAGAAAATCTACAGCTTTTTTTCCATCTGGTAGCTCTTTGGACCCCCAGTCTGGAAGCACTCCTCCTTTGTGTTTAGTTTCTGCATTCTGTCCTCTGTGAGGGAGATGGTTGTGAGATATTTCTAAAATGTTCTCTGCTTATTATGGTTTGTGTAAATACTTGTATATAGAGGGCTATTTAAATAGTAATAGTGGTATTTATTTTTAAACATTTGAAAAGTTTTCAGTAAACTTAACCAATGGGTCAATGAAATGTTGCAGACTTGGATTTTTAAAAATTCTCATAATAAATCATAATGATTCTTTTTCCTTCCTCTAGAACAGTCTTGATAGAGAAGGAAAGTGTAAACTCTGTTGTTGTAGCTGATGCTCCTGAAGATGCATTTCAACAAATACTGGTTGCTGCTTCCATATCTGTAAATGCAACAGGTAAAGAATGCTCTGTCAAAGTTGTATAACCTTTTCTGCCTACACTATAATTCTGATCAAAGCTATAGCTGAGTATTTGTGTGACTTTTTTCTTGAAAATGTCCATATAAATTTGTTTTTTATGGTGATAGGCTCAACAATGATACTAAGGGAAACTTCTCTCATGCCTCATATTCCGGGTCTCCCAGCATTACTAAGCATGCTGTTTGCTCCTGTGATAGACCTCAGGTATGTGAACATTTCCAAGGAGAAACGTGGTGTTCACTGTAACAAATGCTTCTACTCAAAGTTTTATTTGCAGCCCCCTGGAAACCTGCAGATATTTAAGGAAAGTCCCACTTTACCTTTGGGGGTCTCCTGGAACCAGTTAAAAAAGCCTTCTGCAAATGGAAGGAGTTCTTCCTTTTGCAATAATGACATGCGGATGCAAACTGTTATGTCTGTATAGGATCATTATGACAATATGACAATACATATCAGACGTAGGTGCTGTATTTTTCTTACACTTACCTTCAATAAACTTGTTACTTCAGGGTTGATGAAAGCAGGAAGAGGTACATTGGTGTCCTATGTGGTTTGGGTTGGAACCAGGCCCTGGGGAGCCCAGTCCTCCAAGACCATGATATGGAACTTACATTTGATGTGCAGATTGATGCAGATGACATCACACAGGTAAAAGTACTTCAGTTTTTCAGATGTTATGACAGCACATGATTGGAATGTCATATCTTAATGTACTCCCTTAGGTTTCTTGGAATGAATCTGGCTTCTTCAGAATTAAGAAATTGTCTGGTTTCTGTGAAACAAGATTGCCTGGTTGAAACTTGCAGATAATTTTGCTTGTTGGATTGTAGGCACAGTCTGATGTGACTATTTTCTAAAACTTAGATATGCAGCAGAATAACATAATAGAATGGTAAGTATGACTTCCTACAGTAAATGGATTAGCAGTTCCTTACAAATAGAAATGGAACAACAGGCAAAGAACAAAGCTGTTGGCTGGTGTGGGTCTTCCGGGCTGTGTGGCCGTGGTCTTGAAGTCTTGTTTCCTAACGTTTCGCCCGAACCTGTGACCGGCATCTTCAGAGTGCAGGAGCACAGAGAACTGCTCCTGTCTGTGCTCCTGCCCTCTGA